AATTTTCTATCACATAATGTACATTTAATGGCCCACATATCTCTCAGGCGGGGATTGTTCCCCATACACCTGCTGACCTGCAACATTCCCTGCCACGTGTCCTCAGCCCCCCGCTGCTGAGCTAGGCTGAGAGGAGGTACTAGGGAAATCTAGTAATGTATGCATATCTAGCTAACACGCTCCAGTCTCTCCATAAGTCTCGCCGGTTACGGTCTGTTGACAGTCGCTAACTAACTGTTGACTGTTACTACCCGCTGTTATTTGCTCGGTCTCCCCAAACGGCCACATCCCCATTTTCTTTGCGCTCGTTTTTTTCCCTGGTTCTGGGGGGCGCCAATTTCCCCCGTATGCTAATTACTCTAGGAAGGCGGGGAAAAATACGCCCAATAAAAATGCAAATCAGAACAGCAAGTGGGGCCTTCCAGGTGACAGATACGCTTTCTCATATCTCACACACACGAGGGGCGGGAGGGGGTGGTGGGGGGCACTGGGGGGGGGGGAGGGGTGGTGGGGGGCACTGGGGGGGGAGGGGGGGGCGGGCGGGGGAGAGTTGGGGAAAGGTGGCGGGGAAGAGTCTGGGAAAGGGGAATTGTTGCGGGGAGGATAGATAGGGTTATGGGAAGCTGGAACCGATAGATGGGGAGAGCTGAGGATGTCAAGGAGAGTTAGAGAGGCGGGGAAGAAAGTTGGGGAAAGTGGGAAGGGAAGATGTGTTGTGGAATGGAAATAAGTAGGAGAGAGGTAATGGGAGGAGAGGAAAGGGAGGGAATGATGATGAAAGGATAGAAGAGGGTCAAGGAAGCTGTGGATGGCCACGGGGCACTCCTGTGCTACTGGTACTCCTGTGCTACTGGCACTCCTGTGCTACTGGCACTCCTGTGCCACCTCTAGTGGAAAACTTGCCGTATTTAACGTTGGTGTTGTTTACTAGTTTATGCAGAGTACAATATATCACCTGCTGGCCCACTGAGGACCACTTTGTCCGGCGCTCTGTAAGATTACGCAGCTGGGATGGCTAGGTGAGAGGGATGCTGCTTTGTGGGCTGAGATAACTTGGAGGAGGATGCTCGTCTCGGTACAAGTGGGACGAATGACGCTAGTTTGGGGCTGAGACAAGTACGAGAGATTACACTATTTCCGACTGAAGTGTGAGATGATTGTGAGAAACAAGTGGATTAAAGCAGCTGTCTTTGACTTAAAATGTTTAAGTTTCGTATATCGAGCACATCTTGTCTTACTGCTCCTCGTCCTCCACCTGTTTCTTTATCTTTATCTTCTTCATGTTTGTATTGGTCAGGGTTGGACCTCAGCTCGACGACTGCCACAGGACGTAGAGAGTTTCTTTAAGAATGTTTTCTTCGACGCTATTTTCTCATGAAAATTACAATTTTAAATGTATCTACCGAGCTTCAACTCGCGGAGAAGTTATTGCTTGGATGTTATTCCTCGCGATCCAGTTGGTTTGACGCAATGTTCTCGTTCTTGAGGAGCGAGGCGAGGTGGTGTGTGGTGTGAGAGGACGGGCTGCCAGCCTCAGCTGCCTCTTGTCTGTCCTGTTACATCTTGCCTTTCAGTCCATATGGTCATAAGTACATATTTTCAACACTCGTTTTAAGATTGTGTGTGTGTGTGTGTGTGTGTGTGTGTGTGTGTGTGTGTGTGTGTGTGTTGAACTGTTTGTGCCGAGTATTAGCTCTTGGAGTGCGTAAGAGAGAGAGAGAGAGAGGGGCGGGGGTGAGGGGCACACGTAGAAGTTCTTGTCTTTAACTAACGCCAATTATCCCTGCCAACTCTGTATTATAATTTAAGGTTATTTATACAACTTATTGACCTGTAGTGCATTTTCATAAAAATTTAGGCATATAAAGTGAACATGGAACTCTAGTCTGTATTCTGCTTTTTTTATCAACTAGAGGAAGGGATCTAAAAACCTGTCAATAGAATCTTAAAAGATTTTCCCGCCACCATTCACCTCCATCTACATGTGGTAAAGTGTGCCCTTTCTACACGCTCCCGGCAGTTGACACGGAGATGATATCGCAGACATCGCCAGTCCTTTCCAATAGACTGCTCCTGGGGAGAGGAATGGGTTCAAGTGGTATCCCAGTGAAGGGGTGAGGTGCTGGGGGCCTACAGTGAAGGGGTGAGGTGCTGGGGGCGGCCTACTGGGGCCTCCAGTGAAGGGCTGAGGTGCTGGGGGCGGCCGGCTGGGGCCTCCAGTGAAGGGGTGTGGTGCTGGGGGCGGCCGGGACCTCCTCCACACCACACACGTAACCATGAGGTGTAGGTCTAGGGTGTCACCCTGCTTGTGAAGGGGTACTGGGGCCCTGCCTCACCCCTCTATGATAGGGGTGAGGGAGCTCAACCCTGTATCTTACTGCTGGTTGCCAACTTAATCAAACCTAACCTTAACCTAACATATCCTTACCTTGTCCTAATCATGGATAGTGTGTAGATAACAGCACTAATTACGTGGTGGTTTTCAAAGCATTACCTTCAGGGGGATCTCCTCCCTGAGGAGGAAGCTTGAGAAATCTCAAGCACTTGGCTAGATACTTGTCTGCTCGACGTCTCTCCGGTTGGGGTCGACGGCGGCTTCTTCACGTGGGACCCAACACCACCTGTGGCTTGCCTGCTCTACCTACTTCAAATACTTCCACCTCAATTTTTGTCCGACGTTTTCTTTAAGATATTGTGTTGACTTAACGGTGGCATAACTAGACATTTGGTGTTGAGGCGAAGGACCTTCACCAGAGAGAAGTGCGTGCTTGCTCATCCTCCACCCGGCGTCTTGCCTCATCTTAAGTAGTGACGGCGGGGTCATTGACGTCCCCCTGTGCCAGGAGCTATGACTGTTTTGCTTTTGGGTTTGCTTATATATGGTACATGGTGGCCCAGAACCTGTGTGTGTGTGTTCAGTGTAAGGTCAGTGTACACCTGGAGTTAGTAATAGTGTGTTCAGTGTTTTCAGTCATCCCTCTTTAGTGTCCGTGTGTTCACTCGAACACTAGGTCAGTGGATCAGTGTTTTCAGTTCATGTGTGAACATTGTCATAGCAGTGGTTCATATGGCCGCAGTCTACCGCAGCAATGGGATCTTATGGCCGCAGTCTACCGCACCACTGGGATGGCCGCAGTCTACCGCACCACTGGGATGGCCGCAGTCTACCGCACCACTGGGATGGCCGCAGTCTACCGCAGCAACGGGATCTTATGGCCGCAGTCTACCGCACCACTGGGATGGCCGCAGTCTACCGCACCACTGGGATGGCCGCAGTCTACCGCACCACTGGGATGGCCGCAGTCTACCGCACCACTGGGATGGCCGCAGTCTACCGCAGCACTGGGATGGCCGCAGCAACACTGTGGGCGGGCGGGCCACAACCCAGCTCATCTATTATGTAAATGAGCGCGTCCCGTTACTGTTGGTGGGGAGTGTTTTGTTAAGGGCGAGACACTAGTTCCCAGCGCTCGTTACTGCCCCCGTACCGGGCCCTCCTCCTCCTCCTCCTCTTCCTTCTATCCTTCTACCCCCACCCCCCGCTCCCCCTATCCCCAACCTCCTCGTCATTCTTACCAATATTCTCCTCCTGCAGGCTTCCTTTTCGCCCTCCACACATTCTCCTACTCCTGGGCTTCACTTCGTTCTGGGTACCTCCTTCCTCCTCACAAATGCCGCCCACCTCCTTGTCCTGGCCGCCCGCCCCTACTGTGAAGGGGGTGGGGGGGGGGCTGGGGGGGAGGGGGGGGGTAAATAAACACTGTACGCCGGAAAAAATTATGTGAGTGGGTGAAGTTGTTTCGTATTCCGGTCCACACCAGTGGAATAAGCACGTCGTTTATTGAGGCGAGGCCGGGTTGTTGCTGGTGACGTGTTGATTGGGAGACGTCTGGACCACTGGGTGACGTCTGCACCACTGGGTGACGTGAGGACCACTGGATGACGTGTGATCATAATGATCACATTATTCTGTACATATTTACCTGCGCCTTCCAATTTAAGTCAGGTGTACTTAATACACATCAGCAGAGAATGTGCTTCACAAAACCTCAATGGTTAATCTGTGCCCTTTGCAGTCACCTTTACACTCTCGGTCAACTGTCTTTAATGTTCAACATTTTACCTTCTGTGTTGATATCGCAGAGTATTGTATATGTCGTTATCATGTCTCCTTCATTCTTACCTCAAGTGACCTTTCCTGTTGCATTTGTGTACACATTTGCTTGTTTATTTTCTCATTACGGGTCGGGGTGTGGACTGAACCTTTCCTGATGTCGGTTGTTTAACTCAATGACCTTCCGATCTTTGTATTTTATTAAATAAAGAAAAGAAAATCCTCAGCAACATCTTGTTTTGAAATTATGTCAATAGCGCCTCCGTCAACTCCTCTTGAGTTCCTCTAAAGTGTTGAGGTTGAGTTGACACAGCGCTTTGTTGCAGACAAATTTCCTTAGCTCCGGCACGAGCCTTGCCTTATGTCTCTGGGACCTTTCTTGTACTGAGTGTGTGTGTGTGTGTGTGTGTGTGTGTGTGTGTGTGTGTGTGTGTGTGTGTGTGTGTGTGTGTGTGTGTGTGTGTGTGTGTGTGTGTGTGTGTGTGTGTGTGTGTGTGTGTGTGTGTGTGTGTGTGTGTGTGTGTGTGTGTGTGTGTGTGTGTGTGTGTGTGTGTGTGTGTGAGAGAGACAGAGAGAGAGAGAGGTTCTGGTGTGTGACGCACGAGACAGCTGCAGCAGGTGAAGGTTCTGGTGTGTGACGCAGCAGACAGCTGCAGCAGGTGAAGGTTCTGGTGTGTGACGCAGCAGACAGCTGCAGCAGGTGAAGGTTCTGGTGTGTGACGCAGCAGACAGCAGCGCCAGGTGAAGTCTGCGAGGCGCACCGTGCAGGGAGACCAACTTGGGCCAGAGTAAACTCCTCAACCAGACCAGAGACTCGCCTCCAGACACCGTAGTTCGTATGCACAGTAGCCGGTGACTGAGGAAAATTTTCTGGAGTTTACATTTGTCACTTACGTGGTAGACTTGTCCCGGAAGACGACAGGCTGAACACCCGCCAGTGTTTAGGGTTGTGTGGTAGATATGCAAATTTTACACTGTGCATTCTGGAGATATTTTTGTAGCGATGCTGCGAGCAGTCGCCCCTCTTGAGATGTGAGGATGGAGGTTGGGTAACGCGGAGGTTGGGTAACGCGGAGGTTGGGTAACGCGGAGGTTGGGTAACGCGGAGGTTGGGTAACGCGGAGGTTGGGTAACGCGGAGGTTGGGTAACGCGGAGGTTGGGTAACGCGGAGGTTGGGTAACGCGGAGGTTGGGTAACGCGGAGGTTGGGTAACGTGGAGGTTGGGTAACGTGGAGGTTGGGTAACGCGGTGGTTGGGTAACGCGGAGGTTGGGTAACGCGGAGGTTGGGTAACGCGGAGGTTGGGTAACGTGGTGGTTGGGTAACGCGGAGGTTGGGTAACGCGGAGGTTGGGTAACGTGGTGGTTGGGTAACGCGGAGGTTGGGTAACGCGGAGGTTGGGTAACGTGGTGGTTGGGTAACGCGGAGGTTGGGTAACGCGGAGGTTGGGTAACGCGGAGGTTGGGTAACGCGGAGGTTGGGTAACGCGGAGGTTGGGTAACGCGGAGGTTGGGTAACGTGGAGGTTGGGTAACGCGGAGGTTGGGTAACGTGGAGGTTGGGTAACGCGGAGGTTGGGTAACGTGGAGGTTGGGTAACGCGGAGGTTGGGTAACGCGGAGGTTGGGTAACGTGGAGGTTGGGTAACGCGGAGGTTGGGTAACGCGGAGGTTGGGTAACGTGGAGGTTGGGTAACGCGGAGGTTGGGTAACGCGGAGGTTGGGTAACGTGGAGGTTGGGTAACGCGGAGGTTGGGTAACGCGGTGGTTGGGTAACGCGGAGGTTGGGTAACGCGGTGGTTGGGTAACGCGGTGGTTGGGTAACGCGGTGGTTGGGTAACGCGGAGGTTGGGTAACGCGGAGGTTGGGTAACGCGGAGGTTGGGTAACGCGGTGGTTGGGTAACGCGGAGGTTGGGTAACGTGGAGGTTGGGTAACGCGGAGGTTGGGTAACGTGGAGGTTGGGTAACGCGGAGGTTGGGTAACGCGGTGGTTGGGTAACGCGGAGGTTGGGTAACGTGGAGGTTGGGTAACGCGGAGGTTGGGTAACGCGGAGGTTGGGTAACGCGGAGGTTGGGTAACGCGGTGGTTGGGTAACGTGGAGGTTGGGTAACGCGGAGGTTGGGTAACGCGGAGGTTGGGTAACGTGGAGGTTGGGTAACTTGGAGGTTGGGTAACGTGGAGGTTGGGTAACGCGGAGGTTGGGTAACGTGGAGGAATGTTGACTGTGTAAGAGTAACTGGCATGGTGAGTGTGGAGGGAGGGCGTGGAGTAACAGGGTAACTGGTGTGCCGTGGTACCATTGTGACAGGTGTGTAGGAAGGGTTGGTGTGGGTGTGTAGGGAGGGGGGGATGACTGGTGTGGGGTGGTGTGGTGTGGGATATGTGGTGGGGGTGGGGGGAAGCGTGGGGGGGGGAGACGTGGGGAGGCGGGGGGCGTGACGCCACAAGATAGGGATCACCAAGGCGTCCTCAGCTGAGATAGGCCTGGGCCCGGCGCCCCCCTCTCTCCCTCGGCATTATTTAATCCCTGGTTTGATAACAAATAGGCCTATGCTGCCTCTAATCCTTGGTGTAATATACATAATGGATGCGCCGTAGGCATAACTGATTTGTTAGGCTGGGCTCCCCTGGGTCCTTTAGCCCTTTACTTTAAAAAATTTGTGGCGTCAGAAAACAGTGACAGCCGGAACCCCCCCCCCCCCCACCAGGCCCCTGCACCCCCCTCCCCACCAGGCTCCTGCACCCCCCCACAACACTCATCTACACCCCATCCCCCCTCCACACACTCATCTACACTCTACTAGTTAAGTGTTCATGTGTCAGGTGAGCTTATCGGTAGACATTTTATTTTTAGTGCGTGTGTGTACTCGCCTAATTGTACTGTAGATTTGTAGATTGACAGTTGATTGACTGTCGAGAGGCGGGACCAAAGAGCCAAAGCTCAATCCCCGCAAGCAGAATTAGGTAGGCACACGCACACACGCACGCACAGTGAGTACACACACACACACACTCTGACAATAAATTTTCTACAGATACACCTTTGTGTACAAGAGTCTTGGCAGATACGGAAAAAAGCAAACAGTAGCAAATCTACAAAAATGGTAGCAATGACGACCTCATAATTCTAGACTTGTTTCATTAACAAGCAGAGTAGTCAAAACATTACAGAAAATAATTATAACCAAATTGGCAAAACACCTGCAGAGAAACATTATAACATTATTTTCTTCGATTAGAAAGATCCCAAGTAACAAATACAGGACTTCTACAGGAAAGATGTAGTTCAGTTGACAGCATTTATCTCGCCCTAAAAAGAAAGCTTTATGAGAGAGTGTCACATAAGAGTGTTCTGGAGACTGGAACTACTGGGTGGGTGACAGGGAGCCTTCTAACATTGATGAACATTTTTTTCCGACAGAAAAAGGACGACAGTAATCAGAGGCAATATATCAGACTGGAGAAATGTTACCAGTGTGTCAAGGGAGCCGGTCGGCCGAGCGGACAGCACGCTGGACTTGTGATCCTGTGGTCCCGGGTTCGATCCTGGGCGCCGGCGAGAAACGATGGGCAGAGTTTCTTTCACCCTATGCCCCTGTTACCTAGCAGTAATATAGGTACCTGGGTGTTAGTCAGCTGTCACGGGCTGCTTCCTGGGGGGTGGAGGCCTGGTCGAGGACCGGGCCGCGGGGACACTAAAGCCCCGAAATCATCTCAAGATAACCTTAAGATAGCCAGTAGCGTACCGCAGGGTTTAGTTCTGACACCAGTAATGCTCATATAGTACATAAAGGAGCGACCAGAGGGAATACAGCATGGTATGGACATGCTTCCTGGTGACACCAACTTACAAGGGAAGATAAGAAACTTTGACGATTGTCATGCCCTTGAGAAAGGCCTGACTAAAATAAATGTATGGAGCATCACTTGGCAAATTTAATTTGATTTCCATGCTAGTTCCATTTTTACTGTTCCACATTCCATGCCACGTCATGGAATGTGGAATAGTAGAAAATAGGCTACACACAACCTACTAATTATGTGAAAAAGCTTTAGATGTATCCTGAGGACCTGTGTCGCCTCTTTTAACACCCACGGTGATACCCTATCTGACCCCATGTGTCTAGTGATGGCAGTTCTTTCCGTGCGTCTTCTGTTGTTACTTTAATATTTAATAATATCTCTTCAAGGCTTGCCTTTTCCTCTAGCACTGGGAGCTGTTCAGGCTGAGTAGTGAACATGCCATGGAAGCTGGCATTGAGTTCCTCATAAATTTCTTTATCATTTTCTCTAAACTTTCCTCCCCCTTTTTCATAACCACTTGGTTATTCACTGTCATTTTCCTTATTAGTTGGATAAGAAAGAGTTTAGGTTCTTTCTTTGCTTTGGAATTAATGTTATTTCCATAGTTTGCTTCCGCCAATCTTATATATATATATATATATATATATATATATATATATATATATATATATATATATATATATATATATATATATATATATATATATATATGTCGTACCTAGTAGCCAGAACGCACTTCTCAGCCTACTATTCAAGGCCCGATTTGCCTAATAAGCCAAGTTTTCATGAATTAATTGTTTTTCGACAACCTAACCTACCTAACCTAACCTAACCTAACTTTTTCGGCTACCTAACCTAACCTAACCTATAAAGATAGGTTAGGTTAGGTTAGGTAGGGTTGGTTAGGTTCGGTCATATATCTACGTTAATTTTAACTCCAATAAAAAAAATTGACCTCATACATAATGAAATTGGTAGCTTTATCATTTCATAAGAAAAACATTTGAGAAAATATATTAATTCAGGAAAACTTGGCCTATTAGGCAAATCAGGACTTGCATAGTAGCCCAAAAAGTGCGTTCTGGCTACTAGGTACGACATATATATATATATAATGTATATATATATATATATATATATATATATATATATATATATATATATATATATATATATATATATATATATATATATATATAATGTATATATATATATATATATGTCGTACCTAGTAGCCAGAACGCAGTTTTTGACCTACTATTCAAGGCCTAATTTGCCTAATAAGCCAAGTTTTCCTGAAATAATATATTTTCTCTAATTTTTTTCTTATGAATTGATAAAGCTACCCATTTCAATATGTATGAGGTCAATTTTTTTTTATTGGAGTTAAAATTAACGCAGATATATGACCGAACCTAACCAACCCTACCTAACCTAACCTAACCTATCTTTATAGGTTAGGTTAGGTTAGGTAGCCGAAAAAGTTAGGTTAGGTTAGGTTAGGTAGGTTAGGTAGTCGAAAAAACATTAATTCATGAAAACTTGGCTTATTAGGCAAATCGGGCCTTGCAAAGTAGGCTGAGAAGTGCGTTCTGGCTATTAGGTACGACATATATATATATATATATATATATATATATATATATATATATATATATATATATATATATATATATATATATATATATATATATATATATATCTAATGTGTGTGTGTGTGTGTGTGTGTGTGTGTGTGTGTGTGTGTGTGTGTGTATGTGTGTATGTGTGTGTGTGTGTGTGTGTGTGTGTGTTCATTCCTGGTCCTGTTGGATTTATTCCGGGTTTCCTCTGTTCTTTGCCCTCCACTTCCTCTTGCCTTCCGCTTTTGCTTCTTGGCACTGTCTGTTGAACTACAGGTTATTATATTCTCTCCTACATTGTTATCTTATTGTTGGTACGAATCTTTATTCTGCTTCTTTGCACTTTAGTTTGACTTGGTCCATCATTTCCTGGACTTTGCCCTCTGAGTTCGTCCTCCCAGTGCACACTTCCCAGATGCTCTCTGACTCTCACCTGGTCCTCTTTTATAGTGTACTCTCCCTTCCCTGACTCCTTCTCTTATGGGCACTGTTTTAAGCTCGATCATGTAGTAGAACACCAGGACACAGTGATCACTTGCTCCTAGTGGTATTTCATGCTCCAAGTTCTCGATGTCTTCCTCATTCTGGGTGAAGACCAGGTCAAGAAGGCTTGGTGTATCTCCTTGCTATTGACATCTTGTACATGTTGTGTTCAGCATTTTCTTCTACAACTTCCAGTAGTTTCGCTCGCCACGTTTCTACTCCACCATTGGGGTTGGTGTGCGTGTGTTATGGTGAGTGTGTGGGGGGTGTGGGGTTGCAGTGGTGAAGGGGAGGGAGTGTTGTGGTGGGGGTGGGAGTGTGGTGGGGGTGGATGAGTGTTGAGGGGGTGGGGGGAGGGGGTGAAGGAACACACCAGCCGTGTAAGGAGAGAGAGAGAGAGAGAGCGTTAATCACTGGCCTGGCCGCCCTCCCAAACATTATACTCCCGCGAGGTTAATTAAAAAATGTCACACAGGCGGCCACATATGAGGACTTAGTGGCCAGCCTCCCTCCATAATTCCCCCGTTTTTACTCTCCCCCACCACACCACACCCCCCTCCATATTCCCCACACACCCCCTCCATATTCCCCACACACCCCCTCCATATTCCCCACACACCCCCTCCATATTCCCCACACACCCCCTCCATATTCCCCACACACCCCCTCCATATTCCCCACACCCCCCTTAATATTCCCCACACACCCCCTTAATATTCCCCACACACCCCCTCCATATTCCCCACACACCCCCTCCATATTCCCCATACGCCCCCATTCTTATTTCAGTCTTTGGTTTAACAACAACTTCGTAATGTCCATTTGCTTGACATTTGCCATAATACTTGGGAATACATCTTCGTATATATTACGTATTATATTATTTCTTAATTTGATGCAACTGTTTTTAATGAAACTCATTTTGGAGTTCTTGGAGACAGCTGCACTGGACTTGCTTATGATCAGCAGCACTGCTACTGTGCAGCTGCTGGCGGTGAAGAGGACGTGTTGGTGGCACACTCTCTCCCAGGTGTCTCCTTCACTACGTCTCTCCTGTTGGAGTGTTCGCTGGTAGCTTGTGTATACAGTACTGGCTCTAAACTATGTCGCAGTAGGGCAGATAGAAGGAGCTCCAACAGCAGGGCAGCAGCAGCAGGACCAGCAGCAGCAGCAGCAGCAGCAGCAGCAGCACCAGCAGCAGCAGCAGGAGCAGCAGCGGCAGCAGTAGCAGCACCAATAGCAGCAGCAGGAGCAGCAGGTCTCTCATGAGTGCGGTCTCTCAGGAGCCAGCGTGGACGCGACCCACCTCGACACCCACCATTGTGACCCAAGTTTAAGGACGGAGGCAAATTAGAAAAAGGGGTGATTAATTAAAACGTGGACTTGCTGGG